CCCCACCCACCGACCACGACACCGACCACGAGAGTCACGACAGGCACGAGCACAATCACAGCATGTCACTCAATGACGGGGGAAGGTACATCCGACCAGCTCATCCAGGTCTGCCAAGCCCACCTCTGACACCACCACCACCCCCAGCTGGCTCTGCTCCTGCTCCGCTCCTGCTCCTGCTCCTGACCATGACAGAGGAGATGATGGGCAACAACCAGAGATGCAATCCAATGACATTGATTCTGATGCGCTGGCCTCGCTTCAAAGTCCAGCACAAACATCATCGGCATCGGGTACAAGGCCTGGTGCAGTGTTTGGCACGGTGCCTGCTGTCAACATCATCGCCGACTCGCCCATGAAGCAGGGTGACAGTAGCGATGGCGATGGCTTTCCGGAAGTGACCAATCAAGTTGGCAAGCCGAGGTCTTTGTCGGCGTCAACTGCGTCAATGTCGTCGACGTCATCAGCGTCGTTGATGTCATCGATATCGTCTTCATCGTCGCATCACCACCTGTCAACTCGCCAGCTGCTCCGATCAGCGTCGTTTATCGAGAACAAGCACGCAGATCGGACCCGGACAGCGCTGGAGCTCGGTTCGAGTGCGTCGTCGATGTCTGCTGAGAGCAACGTGCGGTCAGTCTTTTCGACCATCACCGCCATTCCGCGCCTCAAGCGCGGGCTGCGTGGCGGGGGCGGCGGGAGCGACGATGGCGAGAACGGCGCTGCGCCGCATGGGCTACTGGCTCGCGTGGTAGCGAGCGCTGCGTACACGGCCGAGCGACTCAAGTCGAGCGAGTCTGTCGAGCGGCGGGTGTGGGACCTCTTTGTGGCGCTCTTTGTCCTGCACTCTGCCTTTACCCTTCCGCTGCGGCTTGCCTTCCGGTCGACATGGCGCTCGCGACCGTTTCTGGCCACCATGTACACACTCGACTACATCGGCGACTTGCTGTTTTGGATCGACATTGCGCTGCGGTTTCGGACGCCGTTTGTGTACGATGGCGTGCTGGTCACCTCGAGCAAGGCCATCCGGGCCGAGTACCTCTCGTTCTGGTTCTGGTACGACGCCTTTGCCACGCTCCCGTACGGCCTTCTCTCGTGGGTCCCGTATCGGCACGCCCTGCTGCGGCTGCCGCGGCTGCTCCGGCTGGCGCATCTCTCCGAGTACTGGCAGAATTGGCAGCATCGGACGGGCCATCCGTACGTGGTGCGGCTGCTCAATCTCATGACCTGGTTCCTCTTCACCGTCCACTGGCTCGGATGCATGTACATGGCGGTGGCGTACTGGAAGGGCTTTGCCGTCACCTCGTGGGCGGCGCCGGCGGACCTTGAGCACGCCTCGGTCCTCTCGCAGTACTTGTTTACCTTTTTCTGGGCCGCCAACCAGCTCACCAACAAGGGTGGTGGGCCCATCCGCCCAGTCTCTGAGTTTGAGCGCGGCTTTGAGCTTGCTGTCGCTGTCCTCGCTCTCTTTGCCGTCGCCACCATCATCGGTTCCATCTCGCGGGTCATTGCGCAGTCGGACACCAACTACGCCCGCTTCCGCGAACGGCTCGACACCGTCAACATGTTCATGCGGACGAAAGGCATTCCGTCCGAGCTCCAGGAGCGCATCCGCTCGCACTACATCTCCGAGTACGCGCGCCACCGTGGCATCGAGACCACCAACATCCTCTCGGACCTGCCCATCAACCTGCGGACGCGCGTCGCCCTCGTTCTCAATGAGGACATCCTCAAAAAGGTGTTCTTCTTCCAGGCCTCGTCGCGATCGTTTCTTTCTGCGCTCGCACCTTGCCTCCGCTCGCGCGTCTTTGCGCCCGGCGACACCATTGTGACCCAAGGCGACACCGCGGCCAAGGAGATGTACTTTATCGGCTCGGGCTCGGTGAGCGTCATTGTCGACGACTTTGCCGTCGCCACCATGACCGAGGGCGAGTACTTTGGCGAGCTCTCGCTCCTCTCGCACACGCCACGGACCGCGACCGTCACCGCCTCGGGCTTTGTCGAGCTGTACGTCCTCGACCGCCCGGACCTGCTGCGGGTGCTGGAGAGTCACCCCAAGGAGAAGCGGCGGCTGACCCGTGCGGTCAAGGCCCGGCTCGCCGCCGACCTCCTCGCCCACGCCCTCAAGAACGACGCTTTTCCTTCGCGCTTCATCCCGCGCGGCTTTCTCACCGCTGTCGAAGCTCACTTTACCCGTCTTCCGCTCCGCGGCGACGTCACCGACGACCGCACCAAACGTCTCTCGCAAGCAAAGATGGATGAGATCCGTGAGGCCTTTACCCTCTTTGACGTCGACAACTCGGGTGAACTCGACGACGAGGAGCTCAACTTTGCCATCCAGACCCTAGGCTTTGACCCGCACTCGCCCGAGATGATCGAGTGGAAGGCTTCGGTTGACGTCGACGGCTCAGGCTCAGTCGACTTTGGCGAGTTCATGGACATGATGGTGGTGCTCATGGCCGAGTTTTCCGACGACGACTCGTCAAGCTCCACAAGCTCGTCGTCGACCTCGTCCGAGTCGCTCGGCTCGGACTCGGACGCCCGCTACCTGTTTGTGCCTGACTCGCCGGCCGACGCCGTCTACTTTGTCTCGCGCGGCACCGTCGCCATCACTCGCCACAAGCACTCGGCCTACGATGACGGCCAGGCCATCGACGCCTCGGTCGCTGTCTTCCACGCCGGCTCGTTCTTTGGCGCCATCCACGCCGGCACCATGGGCGTCTACGCCAAGGCCATGCCTAAGACCCGCATCCTCTGCTTCTCCGACTCGGCCTACCTTGCCCTCGCCGAAGAGTTCCCGGCCTTCCGCAACTCGCTCCGCACCTTTGTTAAGCGTTTTGCCGACCACAACACCTACTTTGGTGACGCCACGCCGCCACCATCGCCGTCTCTGCAGCCTGCCATCGACGTACCTCCCCCGCACAACTCGGCACCGTCGCTCCCCTCAACTACCCTCGTCGTTGTCCCGCCGGTCGAGCCGTCGAATCCGATGGACGCTCCGAGCTCATCGCAGCAGTCGTTCCCGCCTAACGCGACCGAGCCGCCGCAGCCTGCGCCGCAGCCTGCGCCGCGCCAGCGCCGCAAGTCCATTTCCATGTACGCCCGCAAGGACCAACGCGCAAAGTCGCGGATCAAGCCGACTCTTTTCGCCGTCCTCGACCTGGTCACCGTCGCCGACGCCGGCCGACAGACCACCTCTTCCTCGGGCGCCGTAGCCCGCATCCAGCGTGGCCGCTGCTCAGGCACCCTCTCCGCCGTCGACGCCTTGTCCGCTTCATCGCCGTCCATTCAGACCCTCACCTCGTCCACCACCACCACGTCCAGCGCCAACCCAGTCGCTGACGCCTTTGCCCTTGGTGACATCGAGCTTGCGCAGCTCTTTGCAGGCATCACTCCGCAACAGCTTGGCCTCCTCGGCCGCGGCCTTGACGGTCTCCGCACCCTTGTCACCCGCGAGATGGAGGTTCGCTTGCTCGCCAGCACGTGACTATCGTTGCGCAAACTGTACAACAGTCCACCATCCATGACCATACACACACACGTTACCCTCTGCCACTCCATCACCTCCCCGGGCTCGTCGACTACAGCCATCGACACTGTGACTGGCCATCGTCAAGGTCAGTCGGACCAGAAACGCCATGCCAGTGACCAATGATACCAGCTGCTCTATGACCACCTCTCTCTCCTGTAGGGACGACCACCCTTTCCAGGATGAACGCAGGAGGTATGTTAAGGGGAGAGGCGGTGCGGGGAGGGGGGGGAGGGGAAGGGGAAGGGGGAGGGGAAGGGGAAGGGGAAGGGGAAGGGGGGGGGCACACGCGAACGAACGTTCCAAGGCAATGTGGCAAGCCTGGGAGGGGAGGAGGAGGAGAGGAAAAAGGGGAAGAAGGCAGAGAAGGGGAGGGGGGAGAGAGAGAGAATGTGGGAAGGGGGGGGGGGGGGGGGGGTATA